AAGTTTACTCTCATAAGCAACGTTGAAACTTCTCTTATTTATGTAGTTTAATTGATTCCAAAGTTCTCTTTCTTCGCATAATTTTCAAAATTTTACCTTTTTATGTAATAAATATTTAATTTAAAATGTTAGTGAAATTATTAAGTTCAAATGTACATAGATGGAGTCTGACTCAAAGCATCAGACACAGACGTTGTCAGTCTAGTAAAGTAATCATAGATGATGTAGTTTTTGAGAAAACAACGAAATCAACACGACCTGAATATATTCCTCGGAAATTTTGTAAAAAGAATTTTTAAATTACATTTGATGACAGAAGGTAATAGAATTTATTTGTATTTGCAGTTGATTTCACAAGTGACGGCCTTCAAAAAATCCCGCAATCATCACTTCATCACTTAAGGTGGATGATGCAGAAAGATAATCTTCGGCAAGATTTATTCTTAATAGGAAGACCGGGAAGATTTAAAAGAAACATTGCCATGTCATATCTTCAACTAACAAACCAAGAATGTGAATATATTTCACTTTCTCGTGACACTTCAGAGTCTGATTTAAAACAACGTCGAGAAATTTCCCATGGAACTTCAATTTATATCGATCAAGCTGCAGTGAAGGCGGCAAAGGAAGGTCGAGTGCTGATCATTGATGGCGTAGAAAAAGCTGAAAGAAATATTCTTCCAATTCTTAATAATTTGCTTGAGAATCGTGAAATGCATTTAGAGGACGGAAGATTTTTGGTGTCTGCAGAACGATATGACAATCTACTCAAAGATCATGGACAAGAAGTTCTTGACAACATGGGACTGTTAAGAGTTTCAGATAATTTCCGTGTGATAGCTTTAGGACTGCCAGTTCCAAAGTATCGAGGATCACCTCTCGATCCACCACTTCGTTCTCGTTTTCAAGCTCGAGAAATCGCCAACTTATCATACAATGAAATGTTCCAACAAATGCAAGACGTCGCTCCAAATGCGCCTGTTGAAGGATTAAAGAAAATTTTATCTTTCGGCTTTTCCATCTCTTCAGGTGACTCCTCAGCTTCATTTCCAGACTTCCCTGTTGACAATCTTGTCGATGTCGCTCGAATTTTCTCACAAAATCCAAATTTATCGGAAATTGATTTAATTAAACTTCTTTATCCAATCGATGTGATTTTGACACCATCACAAAAATCTTCAATTGACACGCTCAGAGATTCACTCAAAATTCAAAGATCATCGAAAAGTCATAAACAGAAAATAGAAAACATTGAGATTGGAAAAGGAACAGCAAAAGTTACAATTGAACGACCAGGATGGTTGAAATCTTCCCAAGTCACTTTAAATATTCCGATATGTGAAAATAACATTTCAACTGTCAAACATGATCATAAATTTGTTGAGATTAATTCACAATCAGCTCTTTTAACTGACATGATGCAAACATATGCCGTTGCTGATTTTTGTTTGGTCGGCACGCGAGGATCTGGGAAAACCGCTTTGATTGTAGAACTTTGCAGAATGCTTAATCAACCACTTGAACAAGTGACACTCTACAAAGACATGAGTGCAAGAGAATTAATTCAAAGTCGAAATACCAAAGCAAATGGTGACACTGAATGGATGGATTCAAGTTTAGTGAAAGCAGCACGAAATGGTTGGACAATTGTTCTTGATGGACTCCATCGTCTTCATCTCAGTACGATGTCAATTCTGCATCGACTTGTGCACGACAGGGAATTGCAATTATTTGATGGTTCTCGTTTAATTCGTCATGATAAGTTTCAAGAGCTGATTGACTTAGGCATGAGTGAAGAAGAACTTAATTTGAAAGGAATTTTTAAAATTCATCCTGCATTTAGAATTGTCGCATTAGCAGAGCCGCCTAAACTCGACACATCCAATTGGCTAACACCTGAAGTCTTAAGCATATTTTTATTCCATCAAGTTGAGAACTTGAACAAGTCTGACGAAATTCAAATAATTAATGAACTTTATGGCTCAATTCATCCATCAATGTCAGTGATTCTTGAACTTGCACAAGAACTTCGAACACGATCAGAAAGAGATCCAATTTTAAAGAACTTTGCTGAAGCTTTGTCAACGAGACAATTACTTCGCATAGCTCATCGTCTATCGAAATATTCAGGTGATGATGCTCCAATTTATGACATTGTTCAACGAGTTTTTCTATCGAAATTTTTGCCATCACTTCCAAGGCAAGTTCTTGAAAGTATCTTAACAGAATACAACATCATTCCACAGAAAGTTAAGAGCAAAAATGTTAAAGTAAATGTTGATAAAGAGAATAAGATTTTAACGATTGGACAAACATCAGCAAAGATTTATGATCGCGATTTAAGTCACTCGCTTAAAGTACCTGAAACTTTATTTTATGACACTCCACATTATGTTAAATTATTGGAGAGAATTTTACAAGATTTCCTTCTCGGTTATCATTTATGTTTGATTGGAAATCAAGGAGTTGGAAAAAACAAATTGATTGATCGACTTCTGTTTCTTATGAACTATCCTCGTGAATATATTCAATTGCATCGTGACACGACTGTCACTTCATTAACCATTGCACCAACGATTGTCGATGGAAAAGTTTTATTCGAAGATTCGCCTTTGGTTAAAGCTGTTAAAAATGGTTACACTTTAGTCATCGATGAAATTGACAAAGCACCGATTAATGTGACTTGCGTTCTTAAAAGTTTGGTTGAAACTGGTGAGATGTGGTTGTCAGATGGACGAAAAATTGTTCCACATGCAAGTGAAATTGATGAAAATGACACGAAAATAATTAAAACGCATCAAGATTTTAGAATAATCGTGTTGGCTAATCGACCAGGTTTTCCCTTCTTAGGAAATGACTTTTTCGCATCAATGGGTCATTTGTTCTCTTGTCATGCCATTGATAATCCTGAAATGGAATCTGAAATTCAATTGCTTAAACAATACGGCCCAAATGTCGATGAAAAACTTATTAAGAGACTTGTCAAAGCATTCGGTGAACTTCGATCGATGGCTGATACTTCACAAATATCTTATCCGTACTCAACACGTGAAGTTGTAAATATTGTGAAACATCTCAACAAATATCCCGATGAGAATATCAGCGAACTGATAGGAAACGTTTTGGATTTCGATCGACACTCTCCTGAGTCATTGGAACAAGTGACGAATGTGTTAATCAAACATGGATTGGAAATTTCAGCATATGCACAAAATGAACTCACAGAACTTCGACGAAAGAAGGAAATTCAATTGAGCGTCGATCATTATAGTGGCAAAGACGTTTCATCACCAAAACATGGAAAAATTGACGAGAAGAATGATCCACACGTTGGTGGAAATACTTGGGCAGGAGGGAGTGGTGGACGTGACACTGCAGGTCTTGGTGGCAAAGGTGGACCTTATCGACTTGACAGTGGACATAAAGTTCATCAACTCTCTGATGAAGAGAAAGACGCGATTCCAGAACATGTTAAAGCAGCTGCAAGGGCAATGAATCGAAAAGCTTTTGCTGAAAAACTAAAAGAAATTCAAATGTCAGCTTATGATCATAATATTTATATTCAATTTAGTAACCCAGTCAAACCACATGTGAACACATTGAGAAATATTTTAAATTCACTTGAAGCGAAGGCAAAGGAACGTCATTGGCAAAAGCATCAAACGTCAGGTGAACTTGATGATATGAAGCTGATAGAAGGAATAACTGGTGAGAAAAATATTTATAAGATGAGAAGTGACATGGATCCCGAACCTGGTCAACCTCAAGAGAAACCGAAACGTTTGACGGTTGTAGTTGACGTTAGCGGATCGATGTATCGCTTCAATGGCTATGATGGAAGATTAGATCGAAGTCTTGAAGCTGTAACAATGTTAATGGAAAGTTTCGAAGGTTTTGAGCATAAAATTCAATACGACATTGTTGGCCATAGTGGAGAAAGTCATTGCCTTACATTTATTGATCATAAGAATCCTCCAAACAATGATAAACGTCGAATGGACACTTTGAAGATGATGCATGCCCATGCACAATATTGTTGGTCAGGAGACAACACGCTCAAAGCAACACAACATGCAGTTGATACAATTGCGAAGGAAGAATGTGACGAAGCTATTGTTGTAGTGTTGAGTGATGCAAATCTTCAACGATATGCAATTCCACCGAAGAAATTAACAGAAATGTTGATGAAACAAGAACCGAAAGTTCATGCTTACATGATTTTTATTGGGAGTTTAGGAAAGGAAGCTGAACAGTGAGTTCCCTAACTAATTAGGATATAAGTTAATTAATGTTTTATTCTTCAACAGAGTACAACGGAACATGCCTCAGGGAAAGTGCTTCTTATGCATTGAAGATGTCGGCGAATTGCCAAAAATTTTGAAAACTATTTTCCAATCATCTTTACTGCGACAATCAGTTTAATTTTGTTAATGTTTTTTTAAGATATCGAATAAAAAGGAATTTTCATATCGTTCAATATTTTTTATCTCTTTTGATTACTTTTTATATAAACTTTTGAATCAAAATATTTTCGTGATGTCTCAAAATAAATCTGTTATCGATGCGATAAGTTCTTTTGCAGTGGGCACTACAGAAACTAAAATCTCTTCATTATGATAAGAAGAGATCTATAAAAGGGGATTGAGACCGATTCAAAGTGTTTATTTGAAAAATGAAGTTCTTTGTTGTGTTGCTTATCGGAGCTTTTGCAATTGGTGCAAACGGACAGACTGGACCCTGTGCCAGTATTCGTAGCAGAGCTGCATGGGGTGCCAGAAGTGCTAATACCAACCCACTTCCAACACAACCGCCAAATGCCTTCGTTATTCATCATACAGCTGGAGCACGGTGTTCAACAACAGCAGCTTGTGATCAGCAAATGAGAAATATTCAATCGTAAGCTTTTTGTAAGATAAATTTAAAGTCAATCTTTAATCGTTTAATAACAGATGGCATATGGATGGAAATGGATGGGCTGATTTTGGCTACAACTTCTGTGTTGGTGACACTGCTGTTATATACGAAGGTCGCGGTTGGAATCGACAAGGTGCACATTCACCAGGATTTAATTCACGTTCGATTGGATTCTGCTTTATGGGAAATTTCATGACTGTTTTACCACCTCAAGCAGCTTTAAATGTGGCTCAAGCATTTATTATTTGTGCAAGAGACTGGGGTCGTTTAACAACTACTTACCGTTTGTTGGGTCATAGACAAGATGTTGCGACAGGTAAGATTCTAACATCAATTTCATTATTATTCCATCATATATATATATATTTCTTTCTCATGCAGCCTGTCCTGGAGATGCTCTGTTTAATGTTATCCGCACGTGGCCCAGATGGTCATAAATATTGTCTTGAGTATATTTAAAAATAAATTAATCTAATCACATATTTCAGTCATTCCATACTTATTGTTAAATATTCAATAAAGCAATTGTTTGTACTAATATTTTATCTGTAAACTTTTTTTTCAATCCAATCTCTGATAAAATTATTTGATAAAGGAACTAAAATTATACCGAGAATGCTTATTTAGCTAAACTTTTGATAAATTTTATGAAACTTTTTTATTGTATAGCAAGTCAATCATGAGAAATAACGGTTTAAAAATGTTTGAATTTATAGTTCAATCAGTATCCGTCACAGGTTCAATCGAGGGGATAAGCTACTACGAAAGACGTTAATTTAAATTTTATACTCAAACCTAAATAACATTTTGTTCAGATAGTGAATTGAAATTAAACCGAAAAAATATTAAAATTATTTTTTTAAACTTCCAGGTGAATATAAAATCAAATAACACACACACTAAACTCTTTAAGAAGGCAAAAACTTTCAGTTAGTCGTTTTATAAACATGTCGAAAATGGATCTAAGAAAATCAGTTCTGACAAAACAAACTCAAAATGTTTTAAATGAGTCTGTTGGAAATGCTTCAAGTGCCTCAATGTACGAATCTGCCGTTGACGAAAGTGATAATTCTCTTTATTATTCCTTCACAAATGAATCGTTAGAATCAGAAGGATTATCAGAGAAAAGCCAAATTGAGTCTATAAACAGTTCTGTAAGCAGCGTAATAAGTGAAGCTGACAAAGAGAATACAATCATAAGAAGAGAGTCGTTTACCAGAAAGCAATTATTGATGGAAGTTGAAACGGATTCAGAAACTAAATCAATTATTGTGAATGAGAAATCACTTTTGATAACTTCGGAATCCATGGAAAGTGAAGTTAAAGAAGTTCTTGTAAATCAACCCTTAGATCAAAAAGTTGAGAATTTAGAGAAGCAACAAGAAAAAGTAACAGAAATGGAAACAAACATCCATGAAGAAGATTCGATCGAGCAATCCATGAAAAATGATAATGATTTTATCGAGCAATCAATGAAAAGTGACAAAGAAAATGAAAAGGAAATGAAAGGTTCTTCCTCCAGTTCTCCAATTATTACATATGATTTAACAAAAGACGAAGACACTCCTCCTGTTACAGATAAAATGATGGAAACCTCAGATAATAATGCAATTCAAAACGAAGTCGAACACTTTATTCCTAATCAAGAAGTTGTCAGATCCTTGAACATCCATTCCAGACCTGGTTCACCAGCTGTACGTGTTCAGATCATCATAGAAGATCCAAATGCAAACATTGTCAATCCTTTCACATTTATAAATGACATTCAGCCTCCTGCTTTGGAGCGTCCATCAGTAAGTGTGAATATTCAATCAAAACCAAAGCCTGAAATTCCAGAACAAAAAAAGCCGCGAAGATCGACAAGAATCCCTTCACAAACGCATTTTTATTCACCAATCATTCGGAAATCTTTGGAGCGTAAATCACTTGATAAGAAAGCAAAAGTTCCAACGACACGTCGTACAATTTTTGATGGACCTAAGAAAGCAGGAACCTCAGGTGAAAGCTCAAGTGAAATTCCTAGACCTTTAATAAAAAATAAAATGTTCAAATGCACTTCAACAAAAGAGTGTAAAGATGAATTTCCAACATTTAAGTCTTATCAAGAGCATTTGAAAAGTCATAAAACTTCAATCGCATCAAAGTCGAGCACGAATTTCACTTGCAAATGGTGTGGAAAGAATTTCAAGCTTTCTTCAGCTCTTCTCAATCATCAAACCGAAATGTGCACAAAGATTCCATTCAATGAAAAACGCAAAATGCTTACAGAGACTGAAAAGAAGGAATCAGCTCGTCGTCGTACAATGCTCTTCACCGCTCCATTGCCTAAAATGAGATCACCAGCAGCTCGAAAGCGATCTCGTTGCACTCCAAGCCCAAAAAGTGTGAAGAAATCAGGAGTAAAAGTAACACCAAAGCGAAACCTTAAATGTCATCTTTGTCCATCGGTTGTTCCAGACGCCATCGCCCTCGCAACTCATGTCTTGGCTCACAAGTTTGAAAAGGAAAAAGCAGCCAAACAAGAGCAAGAAAATTTAAAAAAAATGTAATCAATTTGAAAGTGCAACAAACACAAATTCCTTAAATTTTTATTTACTATTTTCATCATTATTGTTAGACAAGTTCATACAAATCTATATAAAGATCACTAAATGAGAAAAGGACAAAAATTTATCATTTTATTTGAGAATTATTTTGCTTTTAAAGTTGTTGCAAAGAAAACGTCAAGAAACTTGTTGAAAGTGGCATCGAAACGGAATTTTAATTAATACTTGGAATGTTTTTGCAGTAACTCAAGTCTTTATAAAACAATGACAACAATAATTAAGATAATTAAAATAAAATATGAAATTAAGTCTTCACAAAAACCAACAAAGTGTTATTAATTTTAATTTCAGTTTATCTGAGAGAAGTTTATTAATTGTAAGTCGTTTCAGAATTTTCTCTGTTCTCACATTGCTGATTCTTCAGGTGTTCTTCATTGTGTTCTAGTTGATGCAGTATAACTAATAAATCATTAGTTAACTTTTTTTTTGTTGATAGATAACGAAGAATCGACACGAAATAAATTTTGAGTTTTTTTTTATATTCGGGAGTAGATTCGGTTTTATTTTTTTCA